TATATTATATTATATGTGTGTGTGTAGATAGATCTAGATCTAGATAGATAGATCTATATATAGATATAGATATATAATATATGTATGTGTGCGTGTATATATGTGTGTATATATACACACACATATATACACACACACAAATAATATTTTATATATTTTATTTTATATATATTATTTTTATATATTATATATTATATTTATATATTTTATTATATATAATATTATATTTTATATCATATATATTATATTATGTGTGTGTGTCCATATGTGTGTGTATATACACACACACATATACACACACACATATATTTTATATATTTTATTTTATATATATTATATTTTTATATATTATATATATAATATTTATATATTTTAAATATATATTATTATATTTTATATTTTATATATATTATATTATTATATAATATATATTTTATATATTTTATATTACATATATTATATTTTTATATATATTATATATAATATTTATATATTTTATTATATATAATATTATATTTTATATTATGTATATATTATATTATATAATATACATTTTATATGTTATATTTTTATATATTATATATAATATTTATATATTTTATTATATATAATATTATATTATATATTATATATTATATCATATGTGTGTGTATATATATGGATGGCATCCTTGAAGCGACTGGACTGACCTTGAAGGAGCTGGGGGTGGTGACGGCCGACAGGGAGCTCTGGCGTGGACTGGTCCATGAGGTCACGAAGAGTGGGAGACGACTGAACGAATGAACAACAACAATATATATGTATGTGTATATATATACACACACACATATATATACGCACACACACACATATGTCTATCTATCTATCTATCTATCTATCTATCTATCTATCTATCTATCTATCTATCTATCTATCTATCTATCTATCTATCTATCTATCTATCTATCATCTATCTATCTATCTTATCTATCTATCTATCTATCTATCTATCTATCTATCTATCTATCTATCTATCTATCTATCTATCTATCTATCTATCTATCTATCTATCTAGGCCCTCTGACAAAACCTCCAATACCTCTCCGAATGACAAATCCTACAGCTCCATCGCACTAGAGAATTAATCCGCTTCAAACCCGGTTTCTGCCTCATGCAGAATTCTGGGCTTTGTAGTTTCAGGAGAGGGCCTTTCACAGCCTCACTAAACTACAAGCCCCAGAATCCTGCAGGAGCTAGACACCGGATTTAAAGTGGAATCGTTCTCTGAAGTGGATAGGATTCCATAGCAGGGGAATAAAGAGGTTTCAAAGTGCATTAATTCGACGTGTGTGGACAGTCAAAAAGTTTTGCCTCCCCCAGTCATAATAGGAATGCACCTATAACAGCAGAAGTTGCTCCAGGTCCTACTCTGGACTGTCCTCTCTACCCAAAACGACCACTCCACAGAGTCACCCGCAATTTGTACCCATTGAACCCAGGCATCAAAATCATTTTGGGGAAAAATCAGAGGTTTTGCTTGATTTTTGATGGGTTTCCTTGTTTGATGGGTTTCCTTGGCGCACATTAACCATCTTTGGCCAGAAATCCAAGGGCGACTCTTGCTTTGAGCTTCAGATTCATGGTTCTAATCAGTCAATCTGACCAGGAAAAGGCTCTTATCAGTAGAGCAAGGTTCCCTCTATCAAATCATCCAGAGATAGTCCAGAAACTGGGAAAGAAGGAAAAGTTAGAGCCATGGAGGCGTTACTTTTTGACCCACCCGAAAATAACGCAATATACTCAAAAGTTTCGCTTTTGCAGAGGGTGGGATGGACTCAAAATCTAAAGCGGGATATTGTCATATCTGGCAGAGAGAGAGAGAGAGAGAGAAAGCGGTATTGTTGTTTGTTTTCTTTCCATTTTCCAAGAAATAGGAAACATTCCGGCAAATAGAGCTGAAGCCGGACCTTTGTTTTGGGAGGAAACTGGAAGGAAAACATTGACTATTCACCCAACTCTATGGACAGAAAAAGCCTGCAAATCTTTTGGGAAATGTCCCCAGTGCTCTCTGGATGTAGGTGAACTACAACTCCCAAACTCAAGGTCAATGCCCATCAAACGCTTCCAGTATTTTCTGTTCATCATGGGAGTTCTGTGTGCCAAGTTTGGTTCAGTTCCATTGTCGGTGGATATCAGAATGTTCTTTGATTGTAGGTGAACTATAAATCCCAGCACCCACAACTCCCAAATGTTAAGGACTATTTTCCCCAAACTCCTATAGTGTTCACATTTGGGCATATTGAGTATTCATACCAAGTTTGGTTCAGATCCATCCCTGCTTGAGTCCACAGTGCTCTCTGGATGTAGGTGAACTACAATTCCCAAACTCAAGGTCAATGCCCACCAAACCCTTCCAGTATTTTCTGTCATCATGGGAGTTCTGTGTGCCAAGTTTGGTTCAGTTCCATTGTCGGTGGATATCAGAATGTTCTTTGATTGTAGGTGAACTATAAATCCCAGCACCCACAACTCCCAAATGTTAAGGACTATTTTCCCCAAACTCCTATAGTGTTCACATTTGGGCATATTGAGTATTCATACCAAGTTTGGTTCAGATCCATCCCTGCTTGAGTCCACAGTGCTCTCTGGATGTAGGTGAACTACAATTCCCAAACTCAAGGTCAATGCCCATCAAACGCTTCCAGTATTTTCTGTTCATCATGGGAGTTCTGTGTGCCAAGTTTGGTTCAGTTCCATTGTCGGTGGATATCAGAATGTTCTTTGATTGTAGGTGAACTATAAATCCCAGCACCCACAACTCCCAAATGTTAAGGACTATTTTCCCCAAACTCCTATAGTGTTCACATTTGGGCATATTGAGTATTCATACCAAGTTTGGTTCAGATCCATCCCTGCTTGAGTCCACAGTGCTCTCTGGATGTAGGTGAACTACAATTCCCAAACTCAAGGTCAATGCCCACCAAACCTTTCCAGTATTTTCTGTTCATCATGGGAGTTCTGTGTGGCAAGTTTGGTTCAGTTCCATTGTCAGTGGATATCAGAATGCTCTTTGATTGTAGGTGAACTATAAATCCCAGCACCCACAACTCCCAAAGGAAGGAAGGAGAGAGAGAGAGAGAGAGAGAGCCCTTCCATACATCCTTTCCCCTTTTGGAATGGCATCCAACCCTTCAGCCCCATCGAAGCCTCCCTCATCTGCCTCGGGTTGGGGGAAAGCTCAAGGGGGACAAGAGGGGGCTTTCACCCCAAAAGAAGACCCCAATACAAGCGCCTGGTTTGAAATATTCCACCTTAAAGAAGCCAAGGAACAGAGCTGTGTGGAGTTCCCTTTTCCGTTTAAGGCTGTTAGGAATTGTGGAAATTGAAGTCCAAAACACCTGGAGGGCCCAAGTTTGCCCCGGCCTGGTCTACACTGCTATAATGCACTTTAATGCGGTTCAGTCTGCATCATGGGAGTATACACTAACCACTATGATGCAATTCAAACTAGATTCTACGGCTGATTCAACAGCATATGAACCGGATTATATGGTAGTGTAGACTCACATAATCCGGTTGAAAGCAGATAATGTGAGCGGATTATATGGCAGTGTAGACTTACATAATTAGGTTCTAAGCAGATAATGCGACCGGATTATATGGCAGTGTAGACTCACATAATCCGGTTCTATGCAGATAATGTGATTGAATTATGTGGCAGTGTAGACTCACACAATCCGGTTCAATGCAGATAATGTGATTGAATTATGTGGCAGTGTATACTACTCACACAATCTGGTTCAAAGCAGATTATGTGACCGGATGATATGGCAGTCTATACTAACACAATCCGGTTCAAAGCAGATCATGTGACCGGATTATACGGCAGTGCAGACTCACACAATCCGGTTCAAAGCAGATAATGTGACCGGATTATATGGCAGTCTATACTAACACAATCCGGTTCAAAGCAGATCATGTGACCGGATTATACGGCAGTGCAGACTCACACAATCCGGTTCAAAGCAGATAATGTGATTGAATTATGCGGCAGTGTATACTACTCACACAATCCGGTTCAAAGCAGATAATGCGACCGAATTATACGGCAATGTAGACTCACACAATCCGGTTCAAAGCAGATAATATGACCTGATCATATGGCAGTGTAGACTCACATAATCCGATTCAAAGCAGATAATGTGACCGGATTATATGGCAGTGTAGACTCACATAATCCGGTTCTAAGCAGATAATGCGACCGGATTATATGGCAATGTAAACTCACACAATCCGGTTCAAAGCAGATCATGTGACCGAATTATACGGCAATGTAGACTCACACAATCCGGTTCAAAGCAGATAATGTGATTGAATTATGCGGCAGTGTATACTACTCACACAATCCGGTTCAAAGCAGATAATATGTCCTGATCATATGGCAGTGTAGACTCACATAATCCGATTCAAAGCAGATAATGTGACCGGATTATATGGCAATGTAGACTCACATAATCCGGTTCTAAGCAGATAATGTGACCGGATTATATGGCAATGTAGACTCACATAATCCGGTTCTAAGCAGATAATGCGACCGGATTATATGGCAATGTAGACTCACACAATCCGGTTCAAAGCAGATAATGTGACCGGGTTATATGGCAGTGTAGACTCACACAATCCGGTTCAAAGCAGATAATGTGATTGAATTATGTGGCAGTGTGTACAGTTGTAGGTGCTGGGGCAAACTTGGTCCCTACTCTAGGTGTTTTGGACTCTAATTCCCACCATTCCTGACAGCCTCAGGCCCCTTCCGTTTCCCCCTCAGCCGCTTAAGCCTGAAGCTGTGGGGAATTGTGGGAGTTGGAGTCCAAAGCACCGGGAGGGCCCAAGTTGGCTCTAGAATGAATGTACTTGGACCCTACTTGAATGGCCACCGCTCAATTGGCACCCACAGGGACTGTTGAATGCTTCCCTCTGCCTTTCGCTTACCACGCGTGTTTTCTGTCCCGTGTCCGCAGCGGCGTGGCCCTGTCGCGAGCCCACTTCGAGAAGCAGCCGCCCTCCAACCTGAGGAAGTCCAACTTCTTCCACTTCGTCCTGGCCTTGTACGACAGGCAGGGCCAGCCCGTGGAGATCGAGCGGACGGCCTTCGTGGACTTCGTGGAAAACGACAAAGTAGGTGTTTCTCTCTCACTCTCGCCTTCCTGGGTGGGAAACAACCCGGGTGGATTCTCTCTCTGTTACTTCATCACACTAGGAGCCCCCGGTGGCGACTGAAGGCCGGCAGGTCGCCGCTTCGAACCCCAGGGAGAGCGTGGGTGAGCTCCCTCTGTCAGCTCCAGCTCCCCATGCGGAGACATGGGAGGGAAGCCTCCCACAAGGATGATAAAACATCAAAACATCCAGGCATCCCCTGGGCAAAGTCCTTGCAGACTGACAGTTCTCTCACTTGGCAGTTTTTCAAGTTGCTCCTGACAGGGGAGAGTGTGGATGAGCTCCCTCTGTCAGCTCCAGCTTCCCATGAGGAGATATGGAAGACAAGCCTCCCATAAGGATGGTAAAACATCAAAACATGCAGGCATCCTCCTGGGCACGCGGTTTCCCAAGTCTCTTGTGACAGAGGAGAGTGTGGGTGAGCTCCCACTGTCAGCTCCAGCTCCCCATGTGGAGACATAGGAAAGAAGCCTCCTACAAGGATGGTAAAATATCAAAACATCCAGGCATCCCCCAGGGCACGCGGTTTCCCAAGTCTCTTCTGACAGGGGAGAGCGTGGGTGAGCTCCCTCTGTCAGCTCCAGCTCCCTGTGCGGAGACATGGGAGAGAAGCCTCCCACAAGGATGGTAAAACATTAAAACATCCAGGCATCCCCCTGGGCACACAGTTTCCCAAGGCTCTCGTAACAGAGGAGAGTGTGGGTGAGCTCCCTCTGTCAGCTCCAGCTCCCCACGCTGAGACATGGGAGGGCAGCCTCCCACAAGGATGGTAAAACATCAAAACATCCAGGCATCCCCCAGGGCATGCGGTTTCCCAAGTCTCTCGTGATAGAGGACAGTGTGGGTGAGCTCCCTCTGTCAGCTCCAGCTCCCCGTGCAGAGGCATGGGAGAGAAGCCTCTCACAAGGATGGTAAAACATCAAAATATCCAGTCATCTCCCTGGGCACGTGGTTTCCCAAGCCTCTCGTGACAGAGGAGAGTGTGGGTGAGCTGCCTCTGTCAGCTCCAGCTCCAGCTCCCCATGCGGAGACATGGGAGAGAAGCCTCCCACAAGGATGGTAAAACATCAAAACTTCCAGGCATCCCCTGGGCAAAGTCCTTGCAGACTGCCAATTCTCTCACTTTGCAGTTTTTCAAGTTGCTCCTGACAGGGGAGAGTGTGGATGAGCTCCCTCTGTCAGCTCCAGCTCCCCATGCGGAGAAATGGGAGAGAAGCCTCCCACAAGGATGGTAAAACATCAAAACATCCAGGCATCCCCCTGGGCACGTGGTTTCCCAAGCCTCTTGTGACAGAGGAGAGTGTGGGTGAGCTCCCTCTGTCAGCTCCAGCTCCCCATGCGGAGACATGGGAAGGAAGCCTCCCACAAGGATGGTAAAACATCAAAGCGTCCAGGCATCCCCCAGGGCATGTGGTTTCCCAAGTCTCTCCTGATAGAGGAGAGTGCCGGTGAGCTCCCTCTGTCAGCTCCAACTCTCCATGTGAAGACATAGGAGGGAAGCCTCCCAAAAGGATTGTAAAACAAAAACATCCAGGTGACATCCTTGCAGACGGCCAATTCTTTCACACCAGAAGCGACTTCGCAGTTTCTGAAGTCGCTCCTGACAGGGGAGAGCATGGATGAGCTCCCTCTGTGAGCTCCAGCTCCCCGTGCGGAGACATAGGAGAGAAGTCTCCCACAAGGATGGTAAAACATCAAAACATCCAGGCATCCCCTGGGCAACGTCCTTGCAGACTGCCAATTCTCTCACTTTGCAGTTTTTCAAGTTGCTCCTGACAGGGGAGAGTGTGGATGAGCTCCCTCTGTCAGCTCCAGCTCCCCATGCGGAGACATGGAAGACAAGCCTCCCACAAGTATGGTAAAACATCAAAATATTCTGGCGTCCCCCTGGGCAACGTCCTTGCAGACAGCCAATTCTCTGACACCAGAAGTGACTTCGTAGTTTGTCAAGTCGCTCCTGACAGCGGAGAGCGTGGATGAGCTCCCTCTGTCAGCTCCAGCTCCCCATGCGGAGACATAGAAGCCTCCCACAAGGATGGTAAGATATCAAAACATCTGGGCATCCCCTGGGCAACATCCTTGCAGACGGCCAGTTCTCTCACAGCAGAGGCGACTTGCAGTTTCTCAAGTCGGTCCTGACACAGGGGGAAAAAATTCACACTAGAGAAAAAAAAATCCACTTAAATATTTTATTTATTATTTATTTCCATCACTTTTATCCCGCCCTTCTCACCCCCGGGGGGACTCAGGGCGGCTTACAGAGGAAGGCACAATTCGATGCCTTTGTCACATATACATACATATATAAGCAAATTAAACAATTACATATTAAAGGTTAAAAACATCACTACACAACAATACAGTAACACAGTAGAAGACTAATCCTGAGCTCAGCGTTCGGAGTTTCGTAAATCCATTCCGTCTCGTCAAATTCCAGCTTGTCATCAGGTCTTTCTTTAGCTGCCATGATGTCCAAATGCCTGGTCCCATATCCAGGTTTTCAACTTTTTCCTAAATGAAAGAAGGGACGTTGCCGATCTAATCTCCCCGGGGAGTGAGTTCCACAGGTGGGGAGCCACCACCGAGAAGGCCCTGCTCCTCGTCCCCGCCAATCTCACTTGTGATAAAGGCGGGGTCGAGAGCAGGGCCTCCCCGGAAGATTTTAGGTTCCGAGGTGGGACGTAGAGGGAGATCCGTTCGGACAGATAAAATCTGGTTTCTGCCTCCTGCAGAATTCTGGGGTTTGTAGTTTATTTATTTATTTATTTATTTAATACACTTGTATACCGCTAATATCTCAGCCTAAATCGGCGACTCATTGCGGTTTACAGCAATTAAAAGCAATGTACAATTTAAAACAACAACACGTAAACAATACAAATTATTGGGCCACCAATAATGATACCATGCTTCTCGTCACAAAAATCACAGTCCAGAGTTCGTCATCCATAGTTAACCAGTCCTTAGTCTATAAATTCAATAGTAACAAACTAATTGAATGCTTGTTTACACCACCATGTTTTTAATCTCTTCCGAAAGACCATCAGCGAAGAGGCTGATCGTATCTCTATAGGGAGGGTGTTCCAAAGCCGAGGGGCCACCACAGAGAAGGCCCTGTCTCTCGTTATAAAGCCCCCTCCCTAAACTACAAAGCCTAGGAATCTGAAGGAGGCAGAAACCGGATTTTATGTCGATTTTTACCTCTCCTGAGATCAGAACAATTGGAAAAGCTGAAAATTTTAGAAGAGCAGCTTATTAGACTGTTGGGTCTGTTTAGACTTCAGAAAAGAAGGCCGAGGAGGGACAGGAGAGCCAGGTTTACATATTTGAAAGAGGATCGCCTTGAGAAAGGGACAGGCTTGGCTTCCAGGCCCCTTCCACACAGCTGAATAAAATCCCACATTATTTGCTTTGTTTATTTTTTTTTTGTATAAATAAAAATGTAATGACCGTTTGTGGGATTAATATAACTCAAATTGACGCGAATTGACACCAAATTTGGACACAATACACCTATCAGGCCAACGAGTGACCATCTATATATATATATGAAAATGCTCTGTGCATAATGAGTACCTTAAAAACAAAAGAACCAATGAACGAAATCACACCAAATTTGGCAACAAAACATCTCACAACACAAGGAGTGACCATCACTCAAAAACTATGATTTTGTTATTTGGGATTTGTAGTTGCTGGGATTTATAGTTCACCTACAATCAAAGAGCATTCTGAACTCCACCAACAATGGAATTGAACCAAACTTGGCACACAGGACTCCCATGACCAACAGAAAACACTAGAAGGGTGTGGTGGGCATTGACCCTGAGTTGAGGAGTTGTAGTTCACCTATATCCAGAGAGCACTGTGGACTCAAACAATGATGGATCTGGACCAAACTTGGCACAAGCACTTAATACGCCCAAATATGAACACAGATGGAGTTTGGGGGGGGGGGGGGGATAGACCTTGACATTTGGGAGTTGTAGTTACTGGGATTTATAGTTCATCTAGAATCAAAGAGCGTTCTGAACCCCATGAATGACAGAATCGGAGCAAACTTCCCACACAGAACCCCCATGACTAATGGAAAATACTTAAGACCATCGAATCCAACTCCCTTCACCAGGGCCAGAAAACGTAATCAAAGACCTCCTGACAAAGAGCCATCCAGCCATAGATATAGATAGATATGCTTCACACACACACACAGATATAGTATCGTAGATTTGAAAGGGACCCCTGAAGAAGGACAGTTATATGTTGCATGTTCCAGAGTAGGCAAACCAGACACTCTCCACATCAACACTGGCAAAGAAACAGCAAGAAATACTGTTTATCCACAAACATAAAGACATTACATATATTAGAAACCAACACCTTCTCATTACTTTATTCTACAGATCAACAGACTGGGCCACAGCAACGTGTGGCAGGGGACAGCTAGTCACTCATACAAACACTGAAAAACGCAGTAAAGAGACTTAAAAAGCCAAAAAATATAAATTACACTACAATGCATGCACATAACCACATTGTTCCCCTGACATTAAGTCCAGTTGTGTCTGACTTGGGGTGGTGGGGTGGTGCTCATCTCCATTTCTAAGCCCAAGAGCCGGCGTTGTCCATAGACACCACCAAAGTCATGTGGCCGGCATGACTGCATGGAGCGTTACTTTTCCACTGGAGAGGTACCTGTTGATCTACTCACATTTGCATGTTTTCAAATTGCTAGGTTGGCAGGAGCTGGGGCTAACAGCGGGAGCTCATGCTCCTCCCTGGATTAGAACCTGCGACCTTTTGGTTTGCAAGTTAACAGCTCAGGGGTTTAACCCACTGCACCACTGGGGGCTTCGGCATAACCACATGTGCATTTCTGCATAACCACATAAATACACATATACACAAATATGTTGTTGTTGTTGTTGTTGTTCATTCGTTCAGTCGTCTCTGACCCTTCGTGACCTCATGGACCAGCCCACTCCAGAGCTCCCTGTCGGCCGTCACCACCCCCAGCTCCTTCAAGGTCAGTCCAGTCACTTCAAGGATGCCATCCATCCATCTTGCCCTTGGTCGGCCCCTCTTCCTTTTGCCTTCCTATGCACACTCATATACACATATATACTGTATATACTTGAGTATAAGCCTCGTTTTTCAGCCGAGGCTGAAAAAATTCCCCTCGGCTTGTACTCGAGTCAATGTTATTTATTATTTTACTTTGTTATTATTATTTTATTACATTTATTATTTTACTCTCTTTATTATTATTATTATTATTATTATTATTATTATTATTATTATTACATTTATTATTTTACTCTACTAGTATTATTACATTTATTATTTTACTCTATTACTTAATATTAGAAGGATACATTATCACATTGACATTGAAGAAGGTTAGAATAATGGTTTAATCAGAGTTGGACTGTCTTATCTTAAATTACAGTTGTATGTAAACACTAGCCATCCCCTGCCACTCGTTGCTGTGGCCCAGTCTGTGTATATGTGTTTTGTGTGTGTATATATTTGTGTATATGTTTGTTTGCATATATATGTGGTTTTGCACATGCATTGTAATGTTTTTTTTTTGGTTTTTTGGCTTTTAAAGTCTCTTTTGCTGTTTTTTTCAGTGTTTTTATGAGTGATGGTTACTCGTTGGCCTGATACATATATTGTGCCCAAATTTGATGTCAATTTATCCAGTGATTTTTGAGTTATGTTAATCCCACAAACGAACATTACATTTTTATTTATATAGAAAAATAATTATTAGTAATTATTATTATAATTACTTATAATAATACAATATTACAATTATCTATTTTATATTACATGTAATATTACTAATAATATTACAATATAATGGTGTAATACAATATAGTAATATATAATACTGATATTGTACTATGCTAATAATTTAATATATTGTATATGTATATATATATATATATATATCTTGTAAGCCGCTACGAGTCCCCTTCGGGGTGAGAAGAGCAGCATATAAATGTCGTAAATAAATCTATATAAATAAAAATGTAATGTTCGTTTGTGGTATTCACAGAACTCAAAAACCACTGGACAAATAGACGCCAAATTTGGACACAAGACAAAAAATTGAACCTACTGATGCCTCAGTTAATGTAATTTTATTGGTATCTATTTTTATTTTGAAATTGACCCATAGCTACTGCATTTTCCACCCTCGGCTTATACTCGAGTCAAATCCAAAATATCTGCTTTGAACTGGATTATATGGTAGTGTAGATTCATATATATCAGTGTAATGTCTATGTATTGCACAAGTTTAAAATGTCCATGCTTCTAGCTGTGAGAGAGTTAATCTTTGGAACATTATGAAGCATGCGCAGAACAGACAAGGAAGATGTTGCAAAAGACTAGGAGGCTGGACAATGAATTAATGAGCTGATGACAGTGGGGTATAAATATAGCAGACACGATTGCTCTTCTCCCTTGCATTTGACCATGTTAACGAGTCAGTGTTATTGCAATGAATGAAATGTAAATAAAGATAAGAGCCGCTACCGAAGTAGAAACAACTGTCTGAAGTCAATTAATTAGATGATAAGAAGCAAGTTGGCCAGCAAATTGGATTAATAATATAGTTCAAAGCAGACAATGTGGATTGTCTGCTTTGATAATCTGGATGATATAGCAGTGTAGAAGAGGCTGTGTTTCTCCAATCCTCCTTCACCAGCCTTTCAAAGTTGATGCTGCGAAAAACATCCAGCTAGGTAGATGAAAAGTGGGACCAGGGTTAAACGTGATCTTGCAGTGGCTCCAGTCTTTTCTTGAGGGACGGTCCCAGAAGGTTTTTATAGGGTGACTCCTGTTCGACCCCACAACCATTGTCGTGTGGAGTCCCACAGGGTTCAGTTCTGTCCCCTATGTTGTTTAACATCTACATGAAGCCGCTGGGAGAGATCATCCGGAGTTTCGGAATGAGATGTTATCTCTACGCAGATGATGTCCAAATCTGTCACTCCTTCTCACCTGTCACCAAGGAGGCTGTCCAGACCTTGAACCGGTGCTTGGCTGCTGTGTCGGACTGGATGAGAGCTAACAAATTGAAACTAATCCAGACAAGACAGAGGTCCTACTGGTCAGTCGCAAGGCCAAACAGGGCATAGGGTTACAGCCTGTGTTAGACAGGGTTACACTCCCCCTGAAGACGCAGGTTCACAGCTTGGGAGTGATCCTGGACTCATTGCTGAGCCTGGAACCCCAGATCTCAGTGGTGGCTGGGAGAGCTTTTTCATAATTAAAAGTTGTGCGCCAGCAGTGCCCGCACCTTGGGAAGTCTGATCTGGCCACAGTGGTCTATGCTCTTGTTACATCCCGAATAGATTACTGCAACGTGCTCTACATGGGGTTGCCTTTGAAGACTGTTCGGAAACTTCAATTAGTCCAACGGGCGGCAGCTAGATTACTCACCGGAGCCTCATACAGGGAGCATACCACTCCTCTGTTATGTCAGCTCCACTGGCTGCCGATCCAGTTCCGAGCACAATTCAAAGTGCTGGTTTTGACCTATAAAACCCTATACGGCTCCGGTCCAGCATACCTGTCCGAACGTATCTCCTTCTATGTCCCACCTCGGAGTTTAAGATCTTCTGGGGAGGCCCTGCTCTCGGCCCCGCCTTTGTCTCAAACACACTTGGCGGGGACGAGGGACAGGGCCTTCTCTGTGGTGGCCCCCCGCCTGTGGAATTTGCTCCCTGGGGAAATTAGGTCATCGTCATCCCTCCTCACCTTTAGAAAAAAGGTTAAAACGTGGCTGTGGGACCAGGCCTTCGGGCAATCTGGTTAAAGGACAATTGATAATGTTTGACTATGGCATGGGACAGGATTTGGATAAGTTAAGCAGAGTAATCATTAGCAGATGGCTAGCTAAACAGCCACCAGACAGGCAATAGCTAATCAGAGTGTAAGCATACTGTTTTAATCTTTATTTATTAATGTTCATGTTTAATTGTTATATTTGTTATTCTGTATTTTATGATGCAGCATTGAATTATTGCCAATTGTAAGCTGCCCTGAGGCCCCCCCCCCCAGGGGTTGAGAAGGGCGGGGTAAAAATGTTCGAAATAAATAAATAAATAAATAAACTTGTGGAAAAAAACTTATTCTCAATAGGTGATCAATGTCTGAGAGACAGTTGATTAGAAGGGCAGTTTTGTTACGACCCACATTACAATCCTGTATCTATTATTTAATTCAGTTGGACTTCTGAACAAGTATGGATGGATAGCATTGTGCCACTAGTCAATTAATAATGTCAGTGCTGGGAAGACTGGCAGGCCAAATCCTTTTTGAATTACATTACATTACCTTCCCAAATAATTTCTCTCTCCTTTCTTTCTTTCAGGAACAAGGCAACGAAAAAACCAATAATGGGACCCACTATAAGTTGCAGCTTCTCTATAGCAATGGTGAGTCACCTGAGCTCCCGCCATCTTTGGCTCTGAAAAAGTCATCTAACCTGAGTTTTAAAAAGTTGGAAGCTTGTTGGATAGTCTCAGCTCCAACAGATTCATTGAATCAAGTGTTCAATGGTCAATTGCCTGTAAAAATCTACTCTAGTTTACATTAAGAACAGGATTTAGTTCAGTGACGTCCAACCTTTGGGGCTCCAGGTCTTTTGAATGTAGACTCCCATAATTCCTGACCATTGGACCTGCTCACCAGGACTTGGGGAGTTGGAGTTCAAAACACGTGGAGGACCAAGAGTAGGAAACCACTTATTTTTTTCGATGGAGTTACAAGCTGGGTAGATGCGGGAAATGCCGTGGATGTAGCGTACGTGGATTTCAGGAAGGCCTTCGACAAGGTCCCCCATGAAAATGAACAAAATCTGGCTACCAGTATTAAAAAACTCTAAAATTACAACAGCAAAACAACAGAGAATAAACAATCAGGCACATCTAATCACCTCTCAACAAAAGATTTCCCCAGGCACTGCCAAGCCATCAAATGCTAATTAAGGTGGTCAGTTGAAACATTCACACCTAGCTCCAGCAGACAAGAGTCCTTTGTCCCACCCTGGTCATTCCACAGATATATAAACCCATTTTCCTACTTCCAACAGACCTCACTACCTCTGAGGATGCTCGCCATAGATGCAGGCGAAATGTCAGGAGAAAATGCCTCTAGACCATGGCCATATAACCCGGAAAATCCTACAATACCCTAGAATTTACTTAATTTTTATTATGGGAGTTGTAGTTTGACAAGGTCTAGTCCTCTCTGCCAATGAGTGCTCATGCCTCACCAAACTGCAACTCCCAGCATTGAACCATGACAGTTCAAGTGGAGTCAAACAGCATTAATACTACAGTGTAGATGTACCCAAAGAGAGACAAGGGGCACGGATGGATACTGAGTAAGGACTAGGGGGCACTGAGTGAAAGTTAGATAGGGCTCCTGTACCTTTAACAATTGTGCAGGGATTCTAGCAGGTGTGGCTTGTTATGCAATCAGGTAACACATTACACCTGCTGAAGTCCTTTCTTCTACACAAGCTCTCCAGTTTTCTCTTGCCAGCTCTATCTGTTGTTGTTGTTGTTGTTGTTGTTGTTGTTGTTGTTGTTGTTGTTGTGTGGCTTCAACTTGCTCCTGACATCAAGCAACCTAAAGGTGAACTTATTGTAATGTTTTTGGGAGGAATTGGTTCAGAGGGGATTGGCCTTTCTCTTAGGTTGAGACAGTGCGACCAGAGGAAGAGAAGCATGTACGAGGGGTATTTTTTAAGTAAGGTCCATTTTGTTGTAGACACTAGTAGTTCGCGCGCATAACGCAACGAGCACGTGTGTCGTGTACCGGCATGCCTCGGGAACAACTGTGCTCAGTTTCCGCTCTGTAGCTCACCTGTGCGGTTCTGTTCTGTGCTTTAAAAATGTTTAAGACTCTCAACTCACCCGCCGCATGTGAGGTTCGCTCAGTGAGACGGTTTTTGTCAGCAAGGAACCTGCCTGCTGCAGAAATTCATCGACAGATTTGTGAAGTGTACGGTGATACTGTTATGAGTGAAAGCAAAGTGCGTAAGTGGGTACGACAATTCAAAGATGGCCGTGACAACGTCCATGATGAGGACCGCTCCGGTCGCCCTTCTTTGATTACAGACGATTTGATTTGATCGCACACTCAAATCTTTGGTTTTTGTGGTCCTCTGTTAGGAGTTTCGGGACCCAACGGGAGCACAGTTTCCTAAACTTTAGGTGTTCAGAAACAATGTTGTAAAGCACTGATCTCGACACGTCAGGAAATTCGTTTGAGAGACCTGTTATTGTGAAGCGCCTGTTCTCACGAATCCTCGCTTCAACTGAAGCCACCAAATTGTCTGTAATCAAAGAAGGGCGACCGGAGTGGTCCTCATCATGGACGTTGTCACGGCCATCTTTGAATTGTCGTACCCACTTACGCACTTTGCTTTCACTCATAACAGTATCACCGTACACTTCACAAATCTGTCGATGAATTTCTGCAGCAGGCAGGTTCCTTGCTGACAAAAACCGTATCACTGAGCGAACCTCACATGCGGAGGGTGAGTTGAGAGTCTTAAACATTTTTAAAGCACAGAACAGAACCGTACAGGTGAGCTACAGAGTGGAAACTGAGCACAGTTGTTCCCGAGGCATGCCGCTACACGGCACACGCACTCGTTGCGGTATGTGCGCGAACTACTAGTGTCTACAACAAAATGGACCTTACTTAAAAAATACCCCTCGTATAATTGTGCATGGAAAAATGGGAGCTGTAGTTTGAACTGGGCAAAAGGAAGACTGGCAAAAGGACTGTTTTGCAGTGGCTCCGGTCATTCCTGGAGGGCCGCACCCAGAAGGTGTTATTGGGGGACACCTGTTCAACACCACAGCCTTTGACTTGTGGGGTTCCACAGGGCTCTATACTGTCCCCCATGCTGTTTAATATCTACATGAAGCCGCTGGGTGAGATCATCCGGAGTTTCGGGGTGCGGTGTCATCTGTACGCAGATGATGTCCAACTCTGTCACTCCTTTCCACCTGCTACTAAGGAGGCTGTCGAGGTCCTGAACCGGTGCCTGGCCGCTGTAACGGTCTGGATGAGGGCGAACAAATTGAAATTGAATCCAGACAAGACAGAGGTACTCCTGGTCAGTCGCAAGGCCGAATAGGGTATAGGGTTACAGCCTGTGCTGGATGGGGTCGCACTCCCCTTGAAGGCGCAGGTTCGCAGCTTGGGTGTGATCCTGGATTCATCGTTGAGCCTGGATCCCCAGGTTTCAGCGGTGACCAGGGGAGCATTTGCACAGCTTAGGCTCGTGCGCCAGCTGCGCCCGTACCTCGGGAAGTCTGACTTGGCCACGGTGGTACACGCTCTGGTCACATCCCGCCTTGACTACTGCAACGCTCTCTACGTGGGGCTGCCCTTGAAGACGGCCCGGAAGCTTCAGCTAGTCCAGCGCTGCAGCCATGTTGCTAACAGGAGCGGGACGCAGGGAGCACACAACCCCCTTGTTGTACCAGCTCCATTGGCTGCCGATTTGCTACCGGGCCCAATTCAAGGTGCTGGTGTTGGCCTACAAAGCCCTAAACGGTTCCGGCCCAAAATACCTCTGACCGCATCTCGGCCTATGAGCCCACGAGGACTTTGAGATCGTCTGGGGAGGCCCTTCTCTCGATCCCGCCTGCCTCACAGGCACGTCTGGCGGGGACGAGAGATAGGGCCTTCTCGGTGGTGGCCCCCCGGCTGTGGAACGCCCTCCCTGTAGATATCAGACAGGCGCCCTCCCTTATGGCATTCCGCAAGAGCCTAAAGACATGGTTATTTGAGAAGGCGTTTGACTAAGTGCTACAACAATTGGCAATGATGATTGGAACGGAATATGGATAACGAGATTGGTTTATGATTCTACGATGAGACGGCGCGGATGATTTAGTGTAATTGTATTATTGATAGTTATGTTGATATTCTGTTGTGATATTGCCTTATTGTAAACTGTTTTTATATGTTGTACACCGCCGTGAGTCGCCCTAGGGCTGAGAACGGCGGTCAACAAATGCAGTAAATAAATAAATAAATAAATAAATGATAGCTGGAACCCAATGCCGAGACAGAGTGAGAGACACAGGTGCGACAGAGTCGTGGCAAGATAGTTCACCAGAAAGGGGTGGGGACAGAAAGGAGAGGGGGACAACAAACAGCCAAGCATAGTGCTTAAGACTATCCTGATATCGCATGCAAACACGTTCAGATACGTAATGTCTTCGCTTCTCTAATTCTGACCCATGTCGCTCAACCAGCATTGGGTCCCAGCTATCATACTTTTGCCGGAAGACTTCCGGAAGTTGCTGAACCTCTGCTTTCATCAACTTGACTCCATGCAGTAAGTGATAAAGAATGCTAGGAGTTGCAGTTCAGCAACACTTTGCTTATCCTTAGCATGGATTTGTGTGATATATGGCTGTGGTCCTGTTGCATAGTTCGTAATCCTATACATTGAGTGGCTTGTGAAAGGGATCCTTTGGAAGTGTTTTTATCCCACTACTTTTATGTTATGTTTAGGTGTAAGAACTGAACAAGATCTCTTCGTGAGGCTCATTGACTCCGTCACGAAACAGGTAAGTGGCATTTTCCTCTTCTGACTGCTTTCTTTCACTTCTTTCTTCTAATCTTGCAATCTTTATTTTTTACTCTGGATGCTATCCACACTGTAAAAGTAATGCAGTTCGGCACCACTTTAACTGCCGTGACTCAATGCTATGGAATCATAGGAGTTGTAGTTTTACAAGGCTTCTAGCTCAGGAATGGGCAAACTTGGGCTGTCCGGGTGTTTTGGATTTCAACTCCCACAATTCCTAACAGCCAATAGGCTGTTATGAATTGTGGGAGTTGAAGTCCAAAACATCCGGACGGTCCAAGTTTGCCCATGCCAGCTCTAGCCTTCTCTCTTAAAGAGTGCTAGTTCTCCACCAAACTACAAATCCCAGGATCTCCTAGAGCAGTGTTTCTCAACCTTCCTAATGCCGCAACCCCATAATACAGTTCCTCATGTTGTGTTGACCCCCAACCATAACATTATTTTAATTGCTACTTCATAACTGTAATTTAGCTACTGTTATGAATCTTCATGTAAATATCTGATATGCAGGATGTATTTTCATTCACTAGACCAAATTTGGCACAAATATCCAATATGTCCAAATTTAAATACTGGTGGGGTTGGGGGTGGGATTGATTTTGTCATTTGGGAATTGTAGTTGCTGGGATTTATAGTTCACCTACAAACAGAGAGCATTCTGAACTCCACCAACGATGGAATTGAACCAAACGTGGCAAACAGAACTCCCATGATTAACAGAATATACTGGAAGAGTTTGGTGGGCATTGACCTTGACTTTTGGAGTTGTAGTTCACCTACATCCAGAGAGCACTGTGGACTCAAACTATCATGGATCTGGACCACACTTGGCACAAATACTCAATATGCCCAAATGTGAACACTATTGGAGTTTGGGGAAAATAGTCCTTGGCATTTGGGAGTTGTAGTTGTAGTTGCTGGGATTTATAGTTCACCTACAATCAAATCCTACCTACAATTGTGGGAGTTGAAGTCCAAAACATCCGGACGGTCCAAGTTTGCCCATGCCAGCTCTAGCCTTCTCTCTTAAAGAGTGCCACCAAAGATGGAATTGAACCAAACTTGACACACAGAACTCCCATGAAGAACAGAAATTACTGGAATGGTTTAGTGGGCATTGACCTTGAGTTTTGGAGTTGTAGTTCACTTTGAACAAGAGAGCACTGTGGAGTCAAACAATGATAGATCTGGGCCAAACTTGGCACAAATACTCAATATGTCCAATTGTGAACATTAGCGGTGTTTGGGGAAAATAGACCTTGACATTTGGGAGTTGCACTTGCTGGGATTTGTAGTTCACCTACAATCAAAGAGAATTCTGAACCCCACCAAGTATAGAATTGGACCAAATTTCCTATACAGAACCCCCATGCCTTGAAGAGACTCACTAGGGCAAACCTCCCTCCAGCCTCACACACTTTCCCTCACCCACACATACGTACTTCACTGGTGTGTGCAAAGCATGCCTGCTCTCCCCTCCTTGCTTGGAGTTTCATAAACAGCCCTCCCCTTGGCTGAAAGGCCAGCCAATCACAGAGGAGGAGAGCTTTTGCTGGGTGGATTGGCAGTCTGTTTCCAAAAAGGAAGAGAAGGACAGGCTGAGTGATCTTCAGCCTTCCCTTCAAAAGGATTTTTGTAAGACCATCAGAAATATATGTTTTCTGATGGTCTTTGGTGACCCTCTGAAACCTCCTCATGATCCCACCCCAGGGGTCCTGATCCCCGGATTGGGAAACGCTGTCATACAGCCATGGCAGTTCAAGTAGTATTGAGTCCGGTTCATTTTACAATACATCGTAATCTGGGATTAATATTCCCTAAATATTAACAACAAGAACTCCCAAGTGTCAAGGTCTATTTTCCCCAAATTCCACCTGTGTTCATATTTGGGCATATGGAGTATTTGTGCCAAGTTTGGTCCAGATCCATCTTTGTTTGAGTCCACAGTGCTCTCTGGATGTAGGTGAACTACAACTCCAAAACTCAAGGTCAATGCCCGCCCCAAACCCTTCCAGTATTTTCTGAATCACAACACTAGCAAAATTATAGTTATGAAGTATTGTGATAATGGCCTAAGGACTAATCAATAAAATTACTAGTAGCGAAGTAGCAATGAAAATAATTTTATGGTTGGGGGTCAGATGCAGGGGAACCACAACTCAAAAGTTCAAGGTCAATGCCCGCCAAGCCCTTCCAGTGTTTTCTGTTCGTCATGGGAGTTCTGTGTGCCAAGTTTGGCCCAATTCTATTGTCGGTGGGGTTCAGAATGCTCTTTGATTGTAGGTGAACTATATATCCCAGCACTACAAATCCCAAATGAAAAAAAATAATTTTTTTTTAGTGATGGTTTCTCCTTGCCTTATCTTGTGGCCGAATTTGGTATCAATTCATACAGTGGTTTTTGAATTATGTTAATCCCACAAACAATCATTACATTTTTATTTATATACTAGCCATCCCCTGCCAGGCATTGCCGTGGCCCAGTCTGGTGATCTGGAAAATAAAGTAATGAGAAAGTTTTGGTGTCTAATGTATTTAATTTCTTTCTGCTTGTGGATAAACTGTATTTCTTGCTGTTTCTTTGTCAGTGTTGATTTGGAGATGTCTGGTTTGCCTCCTCTGGAACATGCAACATATCATAGTGCTTCTTTAGGGGTCCCTTTCACGTCTATAATACTACCGTATATTCCGGCATATAAGGCGACTGGGCGTATAAGACGACCCCCAACTTTTCCAGTTAAAATATAGAGTTAAGACGACTCCCATGCATAAGACTACACCCATGTATAAGACGACCCCTGACTTTTGAGAAGATTTTCTTGGGTTAAAATGTAGTCTTATACGCCAGAATATACTGTATATATCTCTCTGTGTATATTTATGACTGGATGGCTCTTTGTCAGGAGGGCTCTGATTACATTGTCTTGCCCTGGTGAAGGGAGTTGGACTGGATGGCCTTAAGTATTTTCTGTTGGTCATGGGCGTTCTGTGTGGGAAAGTTGCCCCATTTCTGTCGTTTGTGGGATTCAGAATGCTCTTTGTAGGTGAACTATAAATCCCTGTAACTACAAGTCCCAAATGTCAAGGTCTACTTCCCCCAAAATCCATCTGTGTTCATATTTGGGCATATGGAATATGTGTGCCAAGTTTGGTCCAGATCCAAATCATTTGAGTCCACAGTGCTCTCTGGATGTAGGTGAACTACAGCTCCCAAACTCAAGGTCAATGCCCACCAAACCCTTCTACTCTTTTCTGTTGGTCATGGGAGTGCTGTATGCCACATTTGCCCCAATTCCATCATTGGTGGAGTACAGAATGCTCTTTGATTGTAGGTGAACTATGAATCCCAGCAACTACAACTCCCAAATGACAAAATCAATTTTTTTGAGTGAAGGACATACATTGGGTTGTTAGGGATATAGTGTCCAAATTTGGTGTCAATTTGTCTAGTGGTTTTTGAGTTATGCTAATCCCACAAAGGAACATTACATTTTTATTTATTTATATAGATTTCTAATTAGAGTTTTGGTGGGCTTTCCTGGGGCACCTTGCCAGCAGCATGGAGGGAAATGCTTGGTAAATGCTGCCATTTCCAAACACTGTTTCATCTTCCCCCAAGTCATCTTTCTTTAATTAATAGAAGAGAAGTTTTGGTTTCTGTTGGTCATGGGGGTTCTGTGTGGGAAAATTCTTGGCGATGGTCAGGGGAGCTTTTGCACAATTAAAACTTGTGTGCCAGCTGCGCCCGTACCTTGGGAAGTCTGACTTGGCCACGGTAGTCCACGCTCTGGTTACATCCCGCTTAGACTACTGCAATGCTCTCTACGTGGGGTTGCCTTTGAAGACTGCTCGGAAGCTTCAAATGGTCCAGCGCTCGGCAGCCAGGTTGCTAACAGGAGCAGCACTCAGGGAGCATACTACTCCTCTGTTGCGCCAGCTCCACTGGCTGCCAGTTTGCTACCGGGCACAATTCAAAGTGCTGGCGTTAGCCTATAAAACCCTAAACGGTTCTGGCCCTACTTACCTGTCCGAACGCATCTCCTCCTATGAACCAGCTAGGACGTTAAGATCGCCTGGGGAAGCCCTGTTCTTGATCCCGCCTGCGTCACAAATACGTTTGGCGGGGACGAGAGACAGGGCCTTCTCAGTGGTGGCCCCTCGGCTGTGGAATGCCCTACCTGCAGACATCAGATCGGCCCCTTCGCTGTTGGCGTTTCGGAGGAAGGTGAAGACCTGGCTATTCGAACAAGCGTTTGACTAAACAGTGAAATTGAACATAGGAATACATAGGATTCTGATTTTATTGTTGAGGCATTGTGATTGTTATGCTGTTGTTAATTGTTGATGTTATAATCTGTTTTAATTGCATTATACTGTTTTGTGATATTTTGCATTGTTGTGTAAACCGCTTTGAGTCGCCTAAGGGCTGAGAAAAGCGGTATAGAAATAAAGTAAATAAATTTGGTTGGGAAAACAATGCATTTTGTTTGTTTGAGGCCAGCTTCTAATAATTCTCCATATATTCCGCAGCCAATCGCCTATGAAGGACAAAACAAGAACCCCGAAATGTGCAGAGTACTGCTCACTCATGAGGTGATGTGCAGGTAAGACTCTTTTGTTTCTTTGTGGGCAAACTATCACAACACAGAAAACATGTTGCAGTTAAGCATCTTGTTGTCCAACATATGTGGAAGTCACCACATTGCCCACAATTGGCTAGACACTGCCAATGGCAGGTGCTTGGCTCGCTCTCTATTAGTGGCACCCAAACATGGTTTCTTCTCACTGAAATGTGGAATAAGTGTTTATGTGTTTCAAAGCGACTTCTTTCAACACAAGCACTGGATCCAATTTTAGAGAAATCCTTGGTGTGTTTGCAGAGGCGGCCCTAGGTAATTTTCAGCGGTAAGCAAACAGTATTTTGGTGCCCCCCCCCCAACCAATCATTGATATATATTTTCTGTTCGTCGTGGGAGTTCTGTGCGCCATATTTGGTTCAATTCCATCATTGGTGGAGTTCAGAATGCTCTTTGATTGTAGGTGAACTATACATCCCTTGCCTGGCCCGCTTTGGGTCCGGAGGCGTGCCTGAAGACCCCGGCGTGTGCACCAAAAGTCACCTCTTCTCCTGACTTTCTCCTCAGCCATTGGGACCAAGAGAGAGAGAGAGAGAGAGAGAGAGAGAGGTGGAGATGCCCACCTTTCCTGAAGGTAGGCGCAAAAACAAAGGAGGGAGCGGAGGTGGGAGATACCTCCAGCCGGAGGGGCTCTCTCTCTCTCTCTCTCTTGGTCCCAATGGCTGAAGAGAAAGTCAGGAGAAGAGGCAACTTTTGGTGCGCACGCTGGGGTCTTCAGACACGCCTCCGGACCTGAAGTGGGCCAGGCGCAGCGGCTCCGCCCCTTGGCCCACCCGCGGATTGGGGAGAGGAGAGGAGGCAGGTGGAGCGCCGGGGATCAGGAAAGGGAGCCGGTCATGGGGAAGGGATTGAACACGGAGAACGATTGAGCGCCGGCTCTGCTCGCGCACCCGGTGGCCGGGTGGAGCAGGAACGAGAGGGGCAGGCGAGGCTCAAGGGCCCGGCCCCTTTGGGAAGAGGATCGCCCGGCAGCGAGGCAAGAAAGCCGAGGCTCCCCCCGGACTGCTAGGGCTGTTGTGAGCTGAGGGGGCGCTCCTCAAGTGGCGGTCGAGGGGCATTTACAGAGGCGCCTCTGTGCCCCTGGCAAAAAAAAGTGTTCTGCGACCGCTTACTTCGCATAATGGACGAGCCGCCCCTGTGTGTTTGCGATGTTTATGTGTAATGTTTTAATGGTGCGTATCATCCAAGGCAGTGGTTCCCAACCTTCTCAATGCTGCGACCCCTTAATACAGTCCCTCAGGTTGTGTTGACCCCCAACCATAACATTATTTTCATTGTATTGTCGAAGGCTTTCATGGCTGGAATCACTGGGTTGTTGTAGGTTTTCGGGCTATATGGCCATGTTCTAGAAGCATTCTCTCCTGACGTTTTGCCTGCATCTATCTCAAGCATTCTCACAACCTCTGAGGATGCTTGCCATAGATGCAGGTGAAATGTCAGGAGAGAATGCTTCTAGAACATGGTCATATAGCCCGAAAACCTACAACAACCCAGTGGCCATATAGCCCGAAAACATGGCCATATAGAACATGGCCATATAGCCCGAAAAACCTACAACAACCCATTATTTTCATTGCTACTTCATAACTGTGATTTTTCTACTGTTATGAATCATAATGTGAACATCTGACATACAGCATGTATTTGCATTCACTGGATCAAATTTGGCACAAATATCCGATACACTCAAATTTGAATACTGGTGGGGTTGAGGGGAAGATTGATTTTGCCATTTGGGAATTGTAGTTGCTGGGATTTATAGTTAACCTACAATCAAAGAGCATTCTGAACTCCACCAACGATGGAATTGAACCAAACTTGTCACACAGTTCTCCCATGACCAACAGAAAATACTGGAAGGGTTTGGTGGGCAGTGTCCTTTGGTTTTGGAGTTGTAGTTCACCTACATCCAAAGATCACTATGCACTCAAACAATGATGGATCTCGACCAAACTCTGCACGAATACTCAATATGCCCAAATGTGAACACTGGTGGAGTTTGGGGAAAATAGAATCTTGACATTTGGGAGTTGTAGTTGCTGGGATTTGTAGTTCACCTACAATCAAAGAGCATCCTGAACACCACCAACGATGGAATTGAACCAAACTTGACACACAGTTCTCCCATGACCAACAGAAAATACTGGAAGGGTTTAGTGGGCAGTGTCCTTTGGTTTTGGAATTGTAGTTCACCTACATCCAAAGATCACTATGCACTCAAACAATGATGGATCTGGACCAAACTCTGCACGAATACTCAATATGCCCAAATGTGAACACTGGTGGAGTTTGGGCAAAATAGAATCTTGACATTTGGGAGTTGTAGTTGTTGGGATTTATAGTTCACCTACAATGAAAGAACATTCTGAACCCCACCAACGATAGAATTGGGCCAAACCTCACACACAGAACCCCCATGTAGGCCACAGCAACGCGTGGCAGGGGACGGCTAGTAAATAAATAAGACCAATATTGATCCATCCCGCACTAGTCAAATTTGACAGTCTTCTTTCCAGATTTTGCTGTGGGCTGCTTGCAGAGCACCATTAATTTTTTAAGGCTCTTCGTTTACTTGGTGTTGGCAACACAGTCTATCAAATTTTAATGTCCTGTATTAGCCCCGCTGTTGGAGTGGAGGCCCATTGTCTGAGTGACAGGCTTTGCTTTTCAGCCTGAGTTGGAAGATAAACATCTTTCTGATTTGTCACACGGAACTGCAGGACTGACTCTTCAACTCAAGATGCAGACAAGTGTATCCGGCATCGTTTACATCTTTCTCCAAGTGACAGATGCACACTTAGAGGGGGGTGTTGTCTAAATATTTGTGCAGATGCAAGAATGTGTCCCTGGTAAAAGATGGGAAATTCCCTTTCTATGATAATTTGGATTCTTCCATAGAAACATAGACTTAGAATTGACCCCCAAGGGCCATCCTGTCCATCTCATTCTGCCATGCAGGAACACACAATCAAAACAGTCCTGACAGATCATAGAATCATAGAGTTGGAAAAGACCTTGTGGGGCATCCAGTCCAACCCCATTCAGCCAAGAAGCAGGAAAATCACATTCAAAGCACCTCCTAGAGATGGCCATCCAACCTCTGTTTAAAAGCTTCCAAAGGAGAAGCATACGCCACACTCCGAGGCAGAGAGTTCCACTGCTGAACAGCTCTTCTTACAGTCAGGAAGTTCTTCCTAATGTTCAGGTGGAATGTCCTGAACATTATGTTGTTGGACTACAGCTCCCATCCCCACTAAACATTGGCTTTACTAATAAGAGATGAAGTCAATGGCATTTTGACTCTAGTGTCTATCCAGCTGAGGAAACATGAATAGAAAAGATCTCTGCTTTGGGGTAAAGTATAATAAAAATGGAACCTAAAGGACTTTAAGATCATCTGGGGAGGCCCTGCTCTCAGTCCCGTCTTCGTCACAAGCATGACTAGCAGGGATGAGAAACAGGGCCTTCTCAGTGGTGGCCCCTCAGCTATGGAACAACCTCCTTAAGGACATCAGATCAGCCCCCTCCCTTTTAACATTTCAGAAGAGAGGTAAAACTTGGCGTGAGAGGTGTCTTGTGTGCAAGGAAGACCTAGATCTGGGTGGTTGTAGGTTTTTTCAGGCTATATGGCCATGGTCAAGAGGCATTATCTCCTGACGTTTCGCCTGCATCTATGGCAAGCATCCTCAGAGGTAGTGAGATCTGTTGGAACTAGGAAAAAGGGTTTATATATCTGTGGAATGACCAGGGTGAGACAAAGGACTCTTGTCTGCTGGAGCTAGGTGTGAATGTTTCAACTGACCACCTTGATTAGCATATAATGGCCTGACAGTGCCTGGAGCAAACTTTTGTTGAGAGGTGATTAGATGTCCTTGTTTGTTTCCTCTCTGCTGTTGTCAGAGGCGGCCCTAGGTAGTATTTTGCCCCTCCCCCAACCAATCACAGATACATATTTTCTGTTTGTTGTGGGAGTTTAGTGAGCCATATTTGGTTCAATTCCATCATTGGTGGAGTTCAGAATGCTCTTTGATTGTAGGTGAACTATACATCCCAGTAACTACAGCTCACATATGTCAAGGTCTATTTTCCTCCAAGAGCGCCTCAAGAGTGCCCCTGGGCAAAATCAACTATACTGCAAATGCTTACTTTGCGTAATGGGTTGAGCCGCCCCTGCCTCCACCACACTCAAGGGCAGAGAGTTCCACTGCTGAACGGCTCTCATAGTTAGGAAGTTCTTCCTAAAGTTCAAAGAAAAGGAAGGGGCCTAAGGCTGTTAGGAATGGTTGGAGTTGAAGTCCAGAACACCCGGAGGGCTGAAGTTTGCCCATGCCTCTTAAATTACATGGAGTGCCATTACCTTCCTGTTGGAGCTGTACCTATTGATCTACTCACATTTGCATGTTTGCAAACTGCTAGGTTCGCCGAAGCTGGGGCTAACAGTGGGAGCTCATGTCACTCCCCAGATTTGAACCTGCAACCTTTTGGTCAACTAGTTCAGCAGCTCAATATAGTCAGAGGCGGCCCTAGGTAATTTTCAATGGTAAGCAAACAGTATTTTGGCGCCCCCCCACCAATAATTGATATATATATTCTGTTCATGGTGGGAGTTCTGTGTGCCATATTTGGTTCAATTCCATCATTGGTGGAGTTCAGAATGCTCTTTGATTGTAGGTGAACTATACATCCCAATCCCAGTAACTCCAACTCGCATATGGCAAGGTCTATTTTTCCCCAAGAATGTCTCAAGAGCGCCCCTGGGCAAAATGAACTACACTGCAAATGCTTACTTTGCGTAATGGGTTGAGCTGCCCCTGAGTATAGTCCATAGACACCCAGAGGCGGCCCTAGGTAATTTTCAATGGTAAGAAAACAGTATTTTGCCCCCCCCCCCAACCAATCATTGATATATATATTTTCTGTTTGTCGGGGGAGTTCTGTGTGCCATATTTGGTTCAATTCCATCATTG